CCAAAGGACGGGATGACTCTGATCAGTTCATCCAAGAATACTTGCGCCTTCTTCTCCTCTTCAATAATGAGAACGATGTCGCCTGCTTGATACGTTCCGGGTTATCCTTGCACAAGGTATGACGCAAGTGACTAAATTAACCATTCACGTAAGTAGAAGCGGAATCACACGACAGAAAAAAGGGTGGGGCGTGTGGAGGACCATGAGCAATCAGAACCGTATTTTGCAAACTTGAGTTTTGATTTCGAATTTCAGTGAGGAGAGGTTGGAGGTTCTTCGATCTCCGCACTCATTTGCATACCAATCTGGTTTTGAAAGGATGACTCACCTGGAACCCAGCCTAATCTCTCATCTAGCATGTGCTCATAAACTTGGAGATATTTGCCTTAAAGACATCAACGATTAGAGTGACTGTTCATTCAATGAAAATAGATACAGGCATACGGCGAGTTGCTATTCTTGCGGGCGAACCTCGCAAGGAGAGTAGACCCTCCATCCTACTTGACCATACCAGATTTTGCGTGGCATTGCTGACATAATGTGTACTCCCACAGTTCACGAATGTCTTGGCCGCGGAAAGACTTCCACTGCATGCGTAGACGAACCAATTTTTTCCTAATCTCACTATTGTCTCATGTTGGACTATTTTTATGTGTGAATATTGTAGATCGAATAAACCATTGTGTTTGACAAACGTCAGACTGATGAGAACTGGTCGGAAACACATTCGAACTTCCCATTGTCTTACACCCCCTGTATCAACCAGCTAACAGAGAATGCTTTTTAAAAAAATATTGATTTCCATAGCGAATGTGCATCCCGGAGTTGTGATTTCAGTCTTCCAAGTTAGTGCCCGATGGAATAGATGGCGAAAACTCGGGGCGAAAACGAAGTTTTCGGATCTCCAAAACTTTTGATTGTTGTCTTTGGACGGGTTCACTACAATCTACCGTCCCGTCATAAGTCATTCTTTAGGATTTTTTTGATGTCAATTCTATATGCTATTGCGAGAAGATGAACTCTAGAAAGACAGCTCTGGATTTGAAACCGCACACCCTCCAAATCGTCGGCCTTTTTGCAGCGAACAAATTGACCAAATTTCAGAGTATGACGAAAAAAATGGGTTAGAATCGTCTCAAAGATTCCCAGTACTCTTCAATGAATCACTGTCCAATATCTTTCAGATGGCAGTTGATCTTCCGGCAGTAGCAAGAGAATGCTCAAAGTTACACTTGACCAACACTGTAAGATCTTTCTCCGGCGTTACTGCAATAATTCCTTCCATAGTGCGCATCTCACAATAATCCAATAGAAAGCTTCGAGCCCGGGACCTCCTGACTAGCAACTGATTGGCTGGTCAGCTTCGTGATGAACTCTCAACCAGATAGGACAGGGCCTCACTCATCCTCCAATCACGGAAACCGCGCAACGTTTTCACAAATCCTGATTGGCTACTGGAGTGGAAATTTTCCATATGGAAGTTTCACTCATTTAGTGAAAATATCCTTTCCGTGAGCTACTTATTGATCGATGGTGATGTATGTAATTTCCCGTAGTATACGTCACAGAGCGAGCACTGTGAAACGGACAAGAAAAGCTTGGGTTCCGGCTTTCAGTGATTAGGCTGGCTGTTAAAGCCTGCTCATGCGGCGCCCAAATAAACCTTTTTTTGATTGTTTTCTAAAAAGCTTCGTTAATTCTTGCAGTACTATAATATACATGTGTGCAGTCATGAGTGGGGAAACTCGATATCGGCGGACAAGAAAGAGAATGGTCGTTGCGACAGACACACTCAATTTCGTTTTCACAGAAGACACAAGTGAACCTCTCATTTTAGATTCATTTGAATTCGCTGCACACAGGCCGCCTCATGATTCAGTTGGCACGATACTCGAGATATTGCAGTATATTTTCACAAAGGAAACTACTCACAAATTTGCTGAAAACTCTTCGACAGCCCACGACCGGCTTCGCCATTACTGGGGCTCATCAGATCAGAATGGCAGTTGGTTTGTTCGCTGGGCAGTTTGATTGCGAACATTTCATCACCATCATCGATGTGACATCATCAGTGCCTTGTTAGGGAGCGTGGTGGCACGTAGCAGTTGGCAGTTGTTCGTTCAGTGATGTTGCGCGTGCCGGGGCTAACCTTCGATCACGATTGGTTGTTCGGCCGGACAGTTCTATTGGTTGCTCCGTTATCCTGTGTCCTGGTTGTTCAGTGCTCACGTGACCACTAAGCTTGACATCCTTTGCCCTCGTAATCTGATCGATGCTGGAGTGACCTCTGGTCCTGACTTCAAGGCAGTCCTCATAAGCTTATATAATACCACAGTTTCGTACCAGCTGAAACAGGAACCGCAGCGCATTCAGCTGGAGCGGACCATCACAAATGAGAGTTCCAGCTTGATTCCCTGGCATCTCTTGTCAAGACCAAATTCCTATGCGAATGAGGCTAACTGTATCGAAAGGTTGCTTAACATGTGACTGTCACAAGAAAATATGCTGAAATACGTCGAATCTAACGCCAAACGAATCTTGAACAGTCTGGTGAGCCTTAATAGAGAAGGAACCGGTCGTGGGCTACCGGAGACTTTCCAGAAACCTGGGGAGTCTTCAGGTGTAGGTTGTACACGGAAATCCGGGACGGAAATCACAGCCATTGTCAAACTTCGTCGCAAGGAAACCTGACGTATGCAAATGTAGTTCCAGTGATATCAGTGTGGCAACTCTGTTTGTGTTTACAAACGTCCTTTCGGCCAATTTCGTGTTTGTGTGTGTGTGACATGATGAAAAATTTTGTGTTCCGATCGGTTGCTAATAACCTTCCAAAAAGTCCCTCG